GTTGTGCACGAACAATGAATCATGGAACACTTTATCTAGAACTAATGATGTAATGTATGGGAATTAACATAAGAATAAAAAAAAAAAAAGATTAACAGCCGACAGAAATGTATCATATTTCATCCACTCTTAGGCTCACTTCCCCCCACATTTTATTGTCTATAAAATTGGTAGATATCTTACAATCAGTCACAGTTTAATAGTGTTTTTTGTGCTGGTATATAGTTATATATGGAATAGTTTATCAGTTATATTTTACTGGGGTGTCTTAAAATAGCATCTTAGAATAGATGAAATATAGTGGCTGTATTTCATATGGTAACACTGCATAAATTAAGCATAGTGGCAGTTTAAAACTAGGCAAAACATGGTATAGAATGTGCTTCTCTGTTGATTTTTTCCAGTAAATATTTTATAACAGTTGATATTCACTGACTTGAGAGAATTGCTAGGGACGGTAGCTGGTTGAAGAGGAAGCATAAAGCTCTGTTAGCTAATACAGCCTGCACTGTACAAGCTCTAATTACAGAGCCTAGCGTGGGCCCTTGTAGGGCACGAATGAATATTTTTTGATACCTATGGCATCTAGCAGCTCAGAGATGGATGGTGACTTGAAAGGAAAAAAGATGCATGAAAGGGATATTCTTTACTTAAACTATCTAAGGAAGATACCAGATTGCAAGATAATGCTATCATACTTTCCAGAACTAGACTAAAACATTATTTTCTATTTTCCAGAGGGTTCTAATTATAGGTTCTGCTGCAGCATGCTCACCTCTGCTTTGAAGGTTTTAACACTAACGTGGGGACCAGTTTCCTGGGAGAATATGAGATAGGCTAACACTTGAGGGGCTGGCAGAGCAACAGAGTGGAAGGAACCTGGGCCGGTACATAGTCTGGCAGATGGGTCTCTGCTAAGCACCCTCCACCTGCCTCTTGACTTTCACATCAGAGAGAAATAAAATGTAGCTATTGTCTTTTGGGGCTTCTTTTCTCCAGCAACTTAGACTAACTGCAACACTCCCAAATATCCGCCCCGCCCCCCCCTCCAAAGCAGCTGTTGCTTACTGAGGGCACCAGGTTGCCACGTTCCATGATGTCTCTGATCAATTTGCTTCTTTCAGATTCTGATGCCAGCTCATTACGCAGGAGCTCACTAGTCGAGAGATGTGTAAACCCGTATTTTTCCACCAGCTTTTCACACTGTGTGCCTTTGCCAGAGCCTGGGCCACCTAGAAAAGGAGTCATGTATCAGACACCTGCCCAAGTCGCCATGGTGTACAAGTCTATGCACTTCATTAACCAAGCACGTATGGGGTACTTATGCTTTATAGGGAGCTGTGTTGGGAGTTGTGGATACAGCGGAGAATGGGGTACATTCCTTGCCCTCAAAGAGTGGGCTGTCCAGGGCAGGGGGGAGGGCAGGCGTTATACACAACAAGCAGTTAGTAGGTAACTACTGTAGTGTTCTAGTGGGGAGAGTTCATGCTGCTCCAGGGGCACTGGGGAGGGGCGCAGGACTCTTTTGGTAGAGATGAAAGAGTCTCCTGGGGAACTGAATATGCTCATGTGCAAAGCACTGGCCACGGTGCCAGGTACACAGTGGGCGCTCAACACATCTTAGCTATTAATTTTTAAAATACATTGTTTTCATTTTCAAACAATCCCAACTGTGGAGAAGAGTTATCAGTAGAGAATAAAGAACTTCCTGAAATAGTTGAGAGTAAGTAGCTCCTGATGCCTCATCACTACAGAACACTTTGGTTTCATTGCCTCCAGACAAGGAGCTAAGCACATCTTGCTACATAACTACATCTTCAGAACCCATGCAGATTTCAGTGGATTTGTCCCAGTAATGTCCTTTGAAGCCAATGGGTCAAATTCAGAATCAAGCATTGCCTTTAGTTGTCAGGTCCTTCTGGTCTCCTTCCATATAGAAGGAGTGGAAGCTTCATGTTTCCTCGACACTTTTGAAGATTATTTTGTAGAATAGAATTCAATATGATTTTTTTCTGCTGTTTTCTGAATATTATTATTAGTTCTGAGTATGAGCCATATTCCTTGGATGAGCATTATACCCTGGACTCTTTCTCTTGCCTTCCCTCACCCAAATTTCAACCAATTGCTAAGTTGTAAGACCTTCTTTGCAGATGTAAAATCATAGCTAACTTTTATCAGGAGCTTACTGTACCACCCACTGTTCTAAGCATTTTATGTATTAATTTAAAATAATCTTAAGAGGCAGGCACTCTTGCCCTCATTTTATAGATGGGGAAGCAGAGGCACAGAGAATTAACTCAACTGCCATAGCTGCACGGCTAGTATGTAGCAAGTCAAGGATGTGAAGCCTGGACTCTGGCTCTTAGAGGCATTTCCTCCTCTCTTCCCTGCTAGCCAGGCTTGTCTATAGGATGAGCAGGTCCTCAAGAGTAATTCCGCCTCTGCACCGGGGAGTGGGTGAGGCTCTAGAGTCCAGCAGACCTGCTAGCAGGATGATTTGCCTGAAAAGCATTGACACTTCTGAGCTCCAGAGCATTCAATGGCTTCCCAGTCCCCACAGGATAAGATCCAAACTCCTTAGAGTGGCATTTCAACCTTCCAGAATCTAGTTTAACCTCTCCAACCTTTTTTTTTTTTTTCATTTCTTATCCTCGTCTAACACTGTCATGTCCAGCTACATACTGTCCCTGCAACAAGACATTTTTCCAGCCCACCATGCTTTTGTTCTCCCAGATCCTCAGCCTCGTAGGCCCTTCCTTCCTCCTCTAACTATTGGGATCCTCTTCATCTCTTAGGCCTCCGTCAGTTGCTTGCCCCTTCTGCCAGGAATCAGTCCTGCCCACCCTCCCCTCTGCGGGAGGGAGTGGTTTTGACAGCACGTGGGTGCCCTCGGCCTGTCTGCCACTTGGCCTCCAGGTCCCTCACTAGTATTGCACCTTGTACACAGTAGGTGCTTCATAAGTGCCTGAGGAACTGAACTTTTTCCTGTTAGAGGGAATGCAAAACGTGGTGGAGATGTTAACATGGTAGTGAGGATTTATGACTTATTCCGCCATTTCCCGGGTTCGTCTCTCTTCATATTCAAAACCCCTTTCTCAGGACAGTTAGCAACTTCCCTCTTGAGGGAAGCTTAGTTGTCGTTCCTCGTTAGAAGAAGGGCCTCGTCTTTTCTCTCCTTTGCCTTGGCAGATAATAAAGGAAAGGTCCACGTCTTCTACCTTCCGCTGTCCGCTAATTGGGAAGGGTTCCGACACCTCACGGGACTGTCGTGGGTGGGCTAGACGCAACAGGAAAACAGTGGTTACAGAGGCTCACAAAAAGAAGGCAGACCACTCAGGAGGAGCAGCTGGTCCCCAGCTAGTGCCACACTCGCTCTGAGCACCAGGACTCGTCTCCTACGATAACAGAAACGGAGGGGGAGTATGGGAACAAGAGAAGGTCACTCAGGCACGAAGTGCTTCCAGATAAACGAGGAAGGATGACGAGGGGCTGAGCCCCTGCAGACGCCTCCAGGGCTTCTGTGGCCGGATTCACCTAGAAACCCTTCTCTTAGGATGGCTGGAAGCCAGTCATGTGGAAAAGGTATTTTCAGACTCGGCTTACAAGGCAAAAATGCTGCGCTCCAATGACTTTCTTCCTTCAGCATTCCACAAATCCGACTATTACAGTTTTTGTTCCTCTAAAATGTTATTTAATAAATTTTGACGCAAAGGCAATTAAAAATCTTCTGCTCAAATGAACAACAGCTGTGTGTTCAACGGCAGCCCTGCCCCACTTAGGAGCCTTTTGTGGACCAACAGCGGCAAATTCTCAGCATTCTTGGGCCAAATGGTGCAGGCACAGTGGAATTTTAAGTAATCCACACAATGCCTTGATTCTTCCCATGGCTCCCAACTGGAGAACAAAGTGATTTTTATCACTGCGGCACAAAAACTGCGAGTAGAAATATGAATTTTCATATCATGTCACTTGCACATCTTTGAGGCCTTACGACTTTTAAATAAAAAACAATGGGGCCTTGATATCCCTCCAGGATAATTTGTTATAATGGAAAAAAATCTTTTGAGGTGCCACATATCAGAACGAGTGGGCTGTGTTCTCAGGTGACAAGATGACTGATAGCAGATGAGGAGTTGTCACATTTCCTGTCATCTCACTGACTTCTGGTGGATCATTACTCAAGGCTCACAGCCCCAAGCGACCCTATACGCAAGACCTCGCGGTGTCATTCACACAGCGTCTGCGATATGAGATCCTGTTTTTGAAGGGGTCGTCAACACACCAAAAGAAAAAAAGTTGAGAAATCTTTCTTCTCGACCTCCAATATAATTTAAAATTTTTTCCATGGAAAGCCTAAGGCACTATATTGTGCAAGCGGAAATACTCGGAACTCTCACGTCACAGCTCAGTAGGTGCCCCCCACCCCACCGACTGAAGTTCCAACAGAGCTATACAGAAGGAGGCCCTGCAGAAGAGCTGCCAACCCGGGGTCCTTGTTGTTCTTTGAGGTGCAGCTGAAAGCTGCATCACCTCACAGGCCCGCGTGGCCCCGTTCTCCAGTGAGCTCTCTATTTCCCGGAGCCATCCTCTGCAAGGAGGCAGCTCCTGGATCCACCAGCCAATCCCCTCTTAGGAGCCAACTCCTGGCTTCGTTGGCTGGGCCCTGCAAGAGAAGACCTGACTCCAAAGCAACTATGGCAGGGTGCTTGGCGTCAGGATGGGATGGCAAAGCTGGTGTGTGGTAGCACATTCTGGGCTCAGGAAGAAAAGACCAAACAAATCATGATGTCAGGTGGAGAATTAGTTGAACCCCCCCATCCAAACAAATGCGAGTATGTAAGTTTCTATTACACTTTTATCTTTAAATATTTCTAATAGTAATGGCATAAAGCAGGTTATAATGTCCTTTGTTGGCATTTTACGGTTATCTTGTTAACTGTAGGGTGCCACCTGGAATGAAGCCTATTAATACAGCTCTTCATTTGACTAACATCTGCTGGGCAGCACTGGCGAAGCACTGAGAGTAAAAAGACTCCGAGGCCCTGTCCTTTCCATCAGAGAATTCAGTCCAATGGCAGGCTGGCAGGTGAACCCAACATCACAGCAGTGAGACAGGCCAGTGAGCCGGGTCTGTAAACACCATCGCACAAACACTGGGAGGGACTCAGCGCCCCGGCAGGAATCAATGAGTACGCACAATTCACTGACACAGGAAAAGAAGAGCATGAAGGGTGAGCTGGCACCTTTAGTACAGTGGTTTGGAGTGTGAGGAGGTCTTGCGGAGAATGGCAGGAAGGGGAGGAGAGTAATGTACTGGGAAGGGCACTGGGCAGGTAGATCGGTCAATAAAACCCTGGTTCTGCCCCTTACAAGTCGTGTGGCTACAGGGGAGTCTGACTTTCCCTGAGCCTTAGTTTCTTCATCTGTAAAATGAGGGGAAATGAGAACCAACTCTCTGCCTCATTCCACCTTAGACGCTCCTTCCTCCTTCTCTCCCATTCCTGACCAGTTGTTAAGACAACTTTGAAAAGCTGAGTCTATGTTTGAAAAGTCTCTGAAATCTGTCCCTCTCTCCCAAATCTCATGAAAAATTCTCCTTGTCCCCACCTCTTTGCCCAAAGATTGGTACTTGGTAAATGTTACATATAAAAAGGGAAGGTTCCTCATCCTGCTAGTTCTCCAGAGTTACATCTGCAGGGTGTCATCCAGCGTATCAGGGTTTGAATTACACATAATCTAACATTTGGGGATTAGCCATTACTTAGGGATGTCCAGACCATTTGTAGGTAATTATGATACATATCAGCATCTGTGTTTACACACACACGTAGATTTAGAAAACTCAACAAAGTTTATTTTCTGTAAGACACTGCATTCTCTGGGTTCTAGCTGTCATCAACAAAGTTTTCCAGGCCTTCATTCCCACCCAAGCCTCAGCATTCTTTAAACCTCTTCAGCACCAATGACCTGCATCACTGACCCAATTTTAGCTCCCTATTGATCTGGCAGAAACTGAGAGTTCCTTATGGTGTGGGTCTGTAGTTCCACTCTGCTCGTGTCTTTCTCTCCCCTTTTTCTTTTCCCTTGACCTCACTTCTCAGCTTGTTCTCTGCCCTTTTTGTGACCTCATTGAGTTGGTCCATTCCCTTTGGACCACTTACCTCCTTAGCCAGCTGGACATCAGGCCCTTTCAATTTTTTTTTTAAGATTTTATTTATTTGACAGAGAGAGA